CTCGGTCCAGTTTGATTTTCTTTAATGATTGGAACAGTTTTGAAATGCTTCCGACGGTACACATATCTTCTGCTTGTAAATCAATGCAGGCCAGAGAGACATAAGATATGGCATTTTTTCTCTCCTCCACGAGTGCCATAGCATCTGGCAGACTTGAAAAAGCCCGTACTCTAACTGCTTTTTGAAAGAAATCATTCCAGTAAAGGGTGCTGCTATATCCCAAAATTAGTTGTCCCATTCTCTCAATCGCTTTGAGATCTGCTTCCAAAGATGACTTGTCGGGTCTACTCAGAGAATTGCTACAAAAGCTGCGTGCTATGAAAGAGCTAGTTTTGTACCACAGCAACGCTCCCATCATAGGGATGGCGGTTGCAACATTACATTTGTTGCCGTCAGCACATGCATCTTGCACATTAGTGCCATCGGAGTCACCATAAGGATGAGGAGTTTCGGATCCAGAGCAGGATTTGACGTTCTTACAGATCTTTTCGGTAGAAAAGACGTAAGCATCTTGCTTATCAAGGTCTTCTTTTACTCGAGAACACAGGGTTTCTATTGGTATAGCCACATTGGTTGGTTGACTTGGGGATGGACCGAGAAGAGTGGCGATGCAATGATAGTCGTAGTGGGCACGTAGTGTTTTCAGGATGAAACCTAATCCACGGTCACGATAATTTGTCTGAAGGGTCTTGCTTTTAAAAAACTTTGATACAGGAGGAATCACTGGCTCGTCTAGAACTTTCTTCAGATTTCCGAGCAGATTTCTGTCCTCTTCTATGGCAGCTATATTGAGGTTGTCAATCCCTTTCAGACGAGACGGCAACTGCTCCAGGGTACTGATAAGTTTTTCAGCCTGTGCAGCATTTCCCTCTTCCTTGTACTTTTCAAATGCTGACACAATTTCTTCCCGAGCTTGAAGAACCTCTTGCAGTTTTCTCGCCCACTGAGGATCTTTTTCTGTTCCTTTCACACCAAGGAGAATCGCAAGAAAAACGATGCCGCAGCTGACAGCAAACATCACTTGCGTTGGACTGATAGTCTCACTGCAAAATACAGTACAATAAACTAAACATCAAGAAACAAAACAAAAAAAAAGGAAAACAACAATTACTAAATAAATTTAGAAAAAAAGAACAATTAAGCGATCGCTTGTCGCATTAGTTCTCATATTCTCCTAGCTTTTTTCTTTACATTTTCTATGGTACTGACGAAGAAAAATTGTATGACTATTAAGAGTTCCTTAAATTAGTGAGTGTGTCCTTTATTCTCACGATCTTTACATTCGATCCAAGAGTGATACTTCAAGGAGAAATCAAAAGCCAGTAACCCTGAGAGTTAGAAGGTTAATTAAAGGCAAGAGAAATTTGAAGGGAAAAAATTGTCTTGCGGTTAATTGTTGCGTCCTTTGCATAAAAGAATATATAATGAGAACAACTCTTCGCAAATCACACAGCTAAACTTATCTGATGACCATTAATTATTCGTACTTTCTCCTCTTTTTTGTTCGAACCGATATTTACATTTTAATTTATCCCAAGAAATAAAATAATTTCTCGTGAATTATGTTATGTAAGCTTTGCCTCAAAAGGAAAGTCAGTTTAAATGTACTGTATCCTCTCTTGAAATTTTTTATTCTAATTCGTTTTTCTTCTCTACTTAAGACTGTCTATATTTTGTATTGTGTTATTGTTATGTTTTGTTTTAATTTGACGACTGGTTCATTATCGTTATATTCGTAGATTAGTTTTTACCGGCATTTTCGTGATGCAGGTACCTTTTATTTCCGACAAGTAATCGGTTTGACTAGAATTTTACAATCCAACGAAGCAAAAAAAAATCAAAAAAAGGCGAGAAAAAGAGGTTTTAGACCTCAGATTCTCAAGTTTCGGTTTGGCTGGAATTATAAACCAACGAGATGAAAAAAAGGCGAGGAAAAGAGGTTTTATATCTCAACTTTCTAGAAAAAAAGAAAAAGACTTTATACAACACTTTAAAAAATAAGGGAAGGCGTGAATTTTCGAGCCCAAAAAAATCAAAATCATCATGCACCAAAACATGAAACAATATTGTGTTCACAGAATTCCTTAACAGTGTATAAAAATTCCAGAACATAGAATATTAGTGCTTTAAATAGGGATTTCCATATGTTTCCCCACTTGCTAAGTGATAATACCATACAGTGCGAACTTACATAACTTATTTAATTTTAATTAAAGATAACAACTGATGCATGAAAAGCACTCCATCAAAAACAATCACAATTACGAAAACCGTTTTTCCTTTTTGGTCGCAACTATTTAACCCTAAAGAGTAATAACGAAGGCATCTCCCGAAGGTATCACCCTGAATATAACAATAAGGTAACGAGAATAAAGAAAATGACCGTGAACTGAAGAAGCTCTTGATTGTTAGACAGACTCTCCTCGTAAGTAAGATAAGAAATGAATAGAGATTAGAATGGAAAACTTGTATTCTGATGTTAGTGTAGAGGGTAAATAATATGATATGATGGGAAAAATGAGGAATTTACGACTTTTGGAGTCCATTGTGACGTTTACTATTATATGTCTTACATATCTCAGTAGATCTTCTGATGCTCATGTTCACGGAGCTGCACTGTTGTTATAGCTCTTTTTTTATCATTATTTATATTTAATACGATTTTCGAGGAGGAAACAACAAAGAAAATTGGACATTGATTAGGTATTAACTGTAGCTTCCCATGAAATATTTCATCAATTTCCGTGCCATCGGCAGTGGGATAGTAGAACCTTTTCCCAGTAACGTTAGATGTTACCAACAGTTCACTTTATAATTATGATTCACGGTTGCTCGTGCGATGGGTATACCGAAACTGACTGGCTGAGAAAAGAAACGAGGTTGGTGCAAACTATTTGAGCAAAAAAAATCTCCAGATGATCATCTCTTTTAAAAGGACAATCTTAACTGGGAACATTTCGAACTGTTTCAAATCCATACCTTTGCTTATCGCGTCCTCATTCACAATAACGCGGTTTCTTGTTCAATAACGCGGTTTCTTGTTCAAAAGCAATATTTCATTATTTCTGGTACCGGTCAACTTTGCTTTACCCTTTGCTTGATCTATTCAGTAACACGCACAGTGTGGCGAAGACTCAATTTAACAATAAAATTTGGCACTCTTGTCATTACAAACGTACTGCGTCTCTTAAGGGACGCAAAAACAAATTAAAATACATTACGGTATTATTGACAAAAAAACCAGCATACACTCGGCATTGATTCTTGCAGTTTCTTCCAAAATTTAGCACGAGGAACACAATGGACAGGCCCTCCCATCTGCAATTTGTTTCCATCCTTGATGATTTTATGCTATTATGGACCACAACATTCTTGAGCGACAAATAAAACATTTCCCTGCACCATCAAGAGAACTAGACAAATCCGGCTTTTTTATTACATGACGTTACCATACTAATTTGTTCCCTTCAGTTTTGTATGACTTGTTTTGCGGGTATTAAAAAAGTGAAAACAAAGACTAGTAAATGTAACGTGTTATAGAATCGAGGTTAACGAATTATAGAATCGGGTTTCAGGCAATCGGTGGCCTTACTGGTGAATAAACTACACACTGATAGTCCTGATATACTCTTTTAGCCCGATTTACGCCTGCATTTCGAGAATTCTTTCTTAGGAATTGGTGAAATTTTGATATGCAAATAAAGGTCGAAGAGAAGGGTCTACCCTGATCACACCGGCTTGAAAAATATTTCAGTTGAAGTTTCCATGCTTTGTGTGAACTGACTGAATACATCTTGTAATTTGTAGCCAGGGAGCATTCCGTGAGCTATATCACTGCAGCGCAAAAAAACAAAAAAGACAAAACAAAAACGAATTGGCGATCCAAACTTTTTTTTTCAACATGTGTCCCAAGCCCTTTTCATGGGCAAAAACGTAAGATGAAAACTTAAAAAAAAAAAACCTTCAATAACGCTTTCAACTGTTGCAGATTAGTTACAATACAGAATGTTTGCTGCTTGTGACCAATAGTGAATGGATGCCATATTCGAACTCACATGTTCATGCATTCGCCAAATTTGCCGCAAAAAACACAACAAAGAAAGCCCATACCTTTGATTATCGTGTCCTCATCCACAATAACGCGGTTTCTAATTTAGGAGAAAAAGCAATTTTGAATTTCCGGTACCGGTGAACTTTGCTTTACCCTCTGTCATGGTTCTCCCCATGAGATTGAGTAATTATTACCTAATATTCTGTCAGCAAATTTAATGAGATATCTGAGGTAACAACTGCGTTCAGGTAATAACTCAACAATATTATTACTTGTAGTTGTTTGGTAAACCACTAAACTAAAAATTAGTTTCGACGTTCTCTTGAAAAGAAAACAAAAGGTGAGTGTATCATTTTTGTAAATATTTCTCTACTTGTTCTTTTATTCTGTAAGTTTTGTTGCAGTCAAACTCGTCCATGCAAAAATTTGGCAAATACTCTTAATTTTTTCATTTCATCCGCCTCTGATAATCCAGTCAACAGCTGGAATTTCGAAAAGGTTTGATCGAATAAATATTGCCAAATTTTTAGGGGTTCATTTAGATTAACTGAACATTTCGAAAAAAGTAATAAGGCAAGCATTCATGGCTTTTCATAGGATCATAATGACAGGAGCGTCTCTAAGAATTTTGCTAAGCGGCGTTTTGAAAGTATTTATCGAGAGGTAAAAATTTTAGAGAGCACTTTTTTTTATTTTCCTCTTTAACAGTCGAGGCAAATGCTCAACATTTTACTTTCTTCGCTTTTCAACTTTAGCCGTCAGCGGACATAAAGATGAATACCTGTTTCCAACTAACTTCTCTTTTGCTTCTTGTCGCCGCATTTCTCTCTGGTAAGAACACTCCCGAGTTTAACAATAGCTGACGATCCTTTATGGCGAACAACAAGAGGGAAATAGACTGTATCGTTTTTGTAAAAATGTTCTGATTAGGGTTCTGAATAAATTCGACAAGACATCAAGGCTGGTGAATCTTACTGATGGAAACTAATTAGATTTTATGGGGCATGGGAAAACACAACTCTAACTACTGTTCGCCGAAACGAAACGACACAGTAAGGGCTGATTAGTTACAAAAAGTCCAACCCAAACCACGGTTTTACGCAATCAATCGGCTTCAGGTTTTCTCACTAAGAGGGTTTATCTAATGAAATAAATGTCCTTCCGCTGTTAGCTTTTAGCCCTCTTTACACTGTTAACAAAAACTAAATGTTCAGATAAAGGTCTCGGCTAAACTGGGGATAATATAGGATGCGGTTTGGTTAAAAAACCGCTTAATGTTGTTTAAATGATCACATCTAAGAGTAAAGCGGCCCAGCAGACGACCTGGATTCATTATTACATAATTTCTATCTACCATTCAATCTTAATTGTTATAACATCTCCACTTTCGAATTTATTCAGATCACCAGGTGAATTGTAAATGTAGCTCTTCCATCGCCGACACAGATTGGGCAGCTTGTCTTGTTGCAGAAAATGGAGAGTGCCCCAACAATTTCATCAAACTTGACGATGACGGTCTATGTGCACCAAATAGCCAGAGGACCCCAAAATGGAAGGACCGGGTGTGCTGCCTCATGACCCCAAGTTTGGATTTTAAGGTAAATAAGTAAGACTTAAAACAAAATGAGTTTAAAGGATCTCTTGGCTTGGAATATTAGTATCAGTATACAGATCGCTATCTAAATATGAAGTTTTTAAATCGGTTCATCTCACGTTAAAAAGCAGGGTGAAGCAGATAAATTTGATCAAATTCTTGTGGGACTTAACTCGAATGGCTGGTGTTCCGGCTTATGGAAATGGGCTAGGTGGTCTATAGGATGACCTCCGGATCCTCGGGGAACTTTACCCTTACAGCGCCTCTTACACGAATTCCGGCAGACCGTTAAGGAAACCTTGCGGAGGGCTGGAAAGTAACGACAAATTCGCATCCCATCCAGTGGGTAGAAATTGGCATGAGCTCTGGCGGTACGGGCATTTTGCCTCGAGAGTGTCTTTACAATAAAAAATGCATGGGAAATTGATTGACTTGCCATTTTAAACCTTGCCTTTTTTTGTTCACATTTAAAACAAAATAATGCAAATCATCCTTTCATACTAGGTTTATTCTGAATTACAAAAATTGACTGAAAAGAACACACACAAAGGAATATAATATGGGGCATCTAAGTCAAAACAAGAAAACTTACATCGCATTAAATAGAATATATATAGGCGTCTCCTCCTCTTCCTTAAATTTAAATGATTTCTTGGTTTTGAATTATTACATAAGTTTACAGATCGATACATGAATATTAAGCTTTTAAGTCCCTTTATCTAAAGTTGTAAAGCATGGTAATTAAACAACTAATCTGTCCCTTCAAATACCTGCAAATCGTTAGTTTCCGCTGATGATTCGTGCATGAACATTTGAGGCTATTGAAGTAATTTTTTTCCCTGGTGACCATAAACTTAAAGATCAAAATGGTCTTCACTTTGTTCTCGTTCTCACCATTGATAATTTCCCCTGAAATGTTGCTTATTCATTCATTTTTTGCTAATTAATCAACATTAATGTTATTGTCTATTTCTGTTTTTAAGTAGCTAATTTTTTTAGGATTCACATTCTTGACACGTGTTACCTTTCCACAGATTAAGGATTCACCTTGTCTAGCGGGAAGTCCAGCGAGTAATGACGAGGCAAAGAGGACTCGTAAACATCACTGACTTTGTCAAAAACAAAACCCTTACTTTAATTTGTTTCATTACCAATAAAAACAGTTTTTGGAAATTATCGAACTACTACGTTAATAAAAAAAACCAAAACAAATATAACTGCAGTACCATGCAAGAGTAACGCAAACGACAATTGCCGAATATATCGTTCTTTGTTCTTCCGAGATATCACCAATATCTGAGTTCAGTTTGTTCTGAATTGACCTATATCGAATCGACTTTCAGTTTGTATTGAAACGAACTACCTCCCCTACGGCTTTTCGGTCGATTAGAAGTCGATAAAGTTCTGCCGATGGAATCACTAAATGTTTTGTTATACGTTAGCGAAGCTACCCATGAGACAAAAGTGAAACGANTAAAGAAACAACACTTTTATTTCTGCGATTAACAAATACGAATAAAATATGGGGTTGAATGTATTTCGAGATTCCTTAAAGTAATTAAACCTTTTGAAATTTGTCATGAAAGCTGTTAAAACTTGAAAGCAAACGCCGCCATTTGGAATCTAGCTTAGGCACCTAGCCGCTGTTCAGTGACGTCAAAAAACTTGCATCTTTCCTTTTCCTCTCCCTCAGCTTTCTATTTATATTTGAACACTTTGGAGCTCCAAAACAGATCCCTCTTGACTTATTGTCCAAGAAAACAATTTTTAATCGATTAGGTTACTCGGTTTGGTTACTCGGTGGAGATAAAAAGAACAATCTTTGGAGCGTTAACTTTTTCTTTTGGTATTTCAGTGATATCTAAACTTCCAAGCAAATTTAAATCTGGCCCCTTCTGTTCTATACGAAAAAGTACGTACAAAAACTAATCAATTACACCTCATGAAAATGAAATTTTATCAGTGACGACATTCTGAGAAAGGGAGTTTGAAAAATATAAGATCTGGATTCATGGTCTTAAGCTCCCATCGAAGGCGACTTCTTTAGTAAAGGCCCTAAAGTGTACCTTAAATCCATTTCTTTCTCGCATGCTAGGTGCTACTGTTGTTGTGCTCTTCATAAGTAGAAGGATAAAATGTAGACAAGTTTCCTTTTGAAACATTATCCGCTGAACTGTGGGATTGTTCTGCCAAGAAGCTACCTCGTCATCCCTGTCAATTAATGATATTAAAGTACCTCAGATAAGGAATTCCCGGTTGGATCCTCTTTTCAGCCGTCCTCAGAGAGAGGATTCTTATTTTTAATGAGCAAAGATAACATGTAAACTTACCAAAGAGTGCCGAAGAGTGGCTTAATTTTGTAAAGAATCTTCAAAACCCGGTGATTATATTGCTGTGAATAGAGAGCAAAATAGAAATTGGAAACTCCATTTCTGAGTGCAATACGATTTTTAGTCCTACATATACATGCATACTCAACAGTTACATTGGTGGGCACAAAAATCTTCATAAAATGTGGCCTTAAGACAAAAAAATACCGGTATGTTGAAAAGAAACTCAATACCTTTGTTACTAACGGAATAAAGGCCATCTTCACTGTGGTAAGTATATAAAGTTTCAGTCTCGATATTCGTTATCACTGCAGCATCAGCATTAAAAAGCCAAACCTGAAAAAGAAATAATTTTTAAAGGTTTGGAATATCAATATGCAGATTGCTCACTGATGCTTGGCATCTGACCTTTTTGAAGCAGAAAATATAAACACCCAGACGATCAGGCTATCCTAACATCCTAGTCAAACAATTTAATTTTACTCCCCAAGCACGAATGAGTTTTGACTTATCAAATAAAGCCTCGGCTAACTGAGGTCTTGGGTATGTCAAAATGTATAATATACTCTTATTGCAAGTGAATAACACCGTATTTGGGTTTATATTGGCAATGAAGACAGCGTAACAGTCTGTTACCATGCATTCAAACAAAATGTTATTACTGAGCACCTCAATCAGTTTTCTACTTTAACCCTTTACACCCTTACATCAATGCACATATTATTCTCCACACTATTCTTAATACATTTCCTGTGGTACCAGCTGGGTGAATTTGTTTCACAGTCAAGTGCTCCTCTAGTTAGCAAATCATTTATTTTAGTACTCACGGCCTTAAAGTTATACTGAATAAGTATAACTTTGAGGCCGTGATACTGTAAGGTTAGAAGCTACTCTTGGAGGATAAAGAGTTAAAATAATTATTATGTCCACTGGCTATCACTTGGTTGTCCCTGGCTATCGACGAACTATTGACCGAGTGTCGACCGACTGTCGAATGACATTTCGGTCAAGTATTGACCATCTCTGGACTGATATATAGGTCGAGAGTACCCACAGTAAACGTGATCCGTCCCGTCTACATGTAGCGGTAATAGAAAACAATACGGTCAGAACTTACACAGGCATGTGCTTGTCTCCTACCATTCTGCTAGGTTCTTGAATTAAAAATCGAAAGTTTGTAGTACATTGTGATTTGGAAGTCAAACAACTTGAAAGAAACGTTTCAATGCAATATGTCCTGAAAAAAAAAAAAAGTTGAGAATGGGGTATCACAAATTCAAAAAGGGAATCGAAACTCTTTACCACAATAATCATGTGAGCACTTAGGAGTAAAGCTGTGCATAAACAATGCCATTGCATGTTACTGATGCTCCCGGTTTTAGCATTTATTTACATTATTGTAAATTGCCTCGATTAATGGTAAGATAAATTGAAATAAACATTCACTTCCACTAATGAGAGCCAGAGATTAATTGCAATCTCTAAAATCTGTTGTTTTATCGAAGTGTTAAACACCAGTTAATGGCTTAATATCTAATTCTACAGTGGCTTGTTAACTGTTCGTTGACTGTTCATCAACGGTGTATTTTAAATATATGTAAGCTTTGGAGAAATAACATGATTGTTCACACTTCTGTAAACAATCACTCTTGAGAGTCTTAGGTTTCATTTTTGTTCATTTAATTTAGTGCGATTACTGAAAGTTTGCTCCCTCATTCATAAGTAAATGTACATGTATGTTGCCATTCAGCGCTAACACAGCTCCCAGTTTATCAACCACATTGTCACCCACCAAGACAAGTTCTAGCTAGAGTATATTATTTGTCCTCTGAGTCAGTCGTGGTCTTAACTGTTAAATCTTCAGAATTTATTTAGGGTTCATCAGGTGAATGGATACATGAATTATGACTTAGGCCTAATAAAAAGTTTGGAAAACACTTTACCTGAACAAGTTAGAGAATGGTAGGCTAACTGCATGCTTGTAAAGATAAATGCTGGATACTACATCACTAAAGTCCATCACCACAGAATCCACACCAACATATCCAAGAGTGGTCTTACATCGGCAACACTTTATAAATTGATCTTCATTGCCCTTAAAAAAACCTGTCAGCTTCAAATTTGCTACGTTAATTGATTACAGTTAACCTTCTCCTGGTCACTGAACATGTTGCTGTTTTACTGCAAGAAAAGTATCAAACATCATAGAAATTTCAATTTCATCTTTCCTTACTGGTGAAATATGCAGCCTCCCTGGTTCTACAATTATTGAGGGGTGCACTTTGATGTAGTATTCTCCAACAAAGCAGTCCTTCTCACTTGGTTCAAAGACCCCTGCAGCAAGATGTCAGATGACTTGTTCCATGACAACCCCAGTCCTTAGCGAGTTCAAGCCAGTTTTCAGAAGGCAGCTCAAGAACCCTGTCAACTTGTAAAATCAAATCTAATTGTCAAATTGTCAAATTTTAAACAAAGTTTAAAATCGGTAATTATTATAGGAAAAAATTATAAACACTGAGACTTATTGATTAACACCTTGTGCATCTCACCACAGAGGAGTATAAATGGGGGCAGGCAAATGTTGAAGGAAATCTGATGAATTGCTTAGGGATAACTTTGGAATAGACTAACTTCCAATCTGGGGGAGAGAAGCAATACTTTCTGAGTCACTTTATGCAGGTGAAACCAGGATTAAAACCCTTTGTCCTAAACCTATTGAACAGATATTTAGTTTCAAAGTTGTCAAAGCGCATACCCCTTACCAAAAGAGTTCAAGGTCTATACTGTAAGTTACAAACCAGGTTTTTTTCTGCATGGCTCTAACTGGCTCAAGCACAAAGCAAGCTGGCCATAAGTCCCAGCAGAAAAAAATAGGATCTTTATCTTATGGTATGACCTGCAAAAAATTAGTTTAATAAGATAAATTATTACACGACTCGGGCAGTCAAAGGGCCAATAACTAAAATCAACCAATCAAAATGCTCTATTGTCGGTCAATATTCTCTCAGTATTTTGCGTTGACGCAAAACCCACCAAATCGCTCAAATTCGCCATTTAGAGCCACAGAAACGACAATNGTCCAATCAGATATCGTTTTCTATCGCGATCCTCATGTGGAAAACACAAGACAAATGGCGGTGCTTGAAGGAGCTTTTCGCAAAGCGTCGTCAAAGTTCAAAATTTTCGAGCTTAAAGCTCACCAGAAGCTTGCAATTAAAAAAGTTTTAGTCGAGAAAGAAGATGTTTTTGTTAAGTTGCCTACAGGATCCGGGAAATCGTTAATATATCAAGCACTCCCGCTCGTGTTTGACCATGTTACCGATGAAAGTGGTCATATTATTGTTATTGTTGTTGCGTTGTACCAACGTGCGGAAACACTCGATAATTCGGGCCGATTTCCTGTACCGGTGATAAGAAGCCACGAACATAACTAATCGGGTTCGCTCCAGCTAGCAGCGGACTGGCAAATGAAGAAGTACAAGTAGTGTAGGAGACGTTGGCCGACCTAAATTGCAGTGTTCTCGAAGCTTCGCCCGGTTTGTTGACGGCAAGCACGCGCTTTTTTCCTCCTGATCTCCATCTGTAGGTCGAAGCAAGCGTTTAGCCCTTGGCCTAGATTGAAAGGCGTCTTGTATTTCCTTTTGATTATTGATGTAATTTACTGTTTCTTATATATTCTGACTTTTATAATCTGTAGTAACCTCTTGAAATAGTGCGAATAAAGAGTTTCAGTTCAGTTTTTAGCTTCTTCTACTTTCTCAGTTGCTCGCTGAAACTTTAACAACCGCTCAAACAATCTAGCGTTCGTGTCGTTGGCGTAGCAGTTGACGTCTATGTTAAGCGTAGATTCTATAATTTCAACCAAATTGTGAGAAGTTTTCTAAAAAATATATATTCTATCTTTACCAGGGCACAACGATGAACATGTGAAACATTTCGAGCTCTCATCGACAGATTTCTTCAGTGTTTCTCCCGACATGATAGCTAGATCATCTGCCACATCCACATTTTCGCGTGAAACCTTACGTCATTCAGATTTTCTGGTATGTGACTGGTCTGTTCAATAGACCGCGACCAAACTGCAAGGACAATGAGAAAGGAATGTAGTTCGGTTGTCAGCAGCCGTTATTTTGGAGGAGCGTTGCGTGACATCCAAAAAAAAAAAAACGGCTGCGAGGGAGACTAACCAAATCGGCGCTTCGCTCAAATTATCCGCCACTTTGTTGAGTACTGGATTCCAGTACTATTTCGTCTTTTCAAAAGGCGGATCCAGTCTCTTCGGACTGTAGCACGGTTTGGCTCATCGAGCGCGAAAGAAGCCGCATTGGGTTTAATCTACTGTATTTATTATTAATAGTAGATTTAGGATTCTTCTTACTCCAATAACAAACTTAGTTCCAACTGCTCTTTCAAAGTATATAGGGTGGATATAAATTTGCCTTCCTTTCCACCCTATCTCCCCTCCCCCCCTCCATCAATGACAATATGAGCTTGTGTCAACCTTTTTTTAGCATATGAGAAGAGTTTATTTTATGTTTTATCTACCACGCTATTTATTGTCTCAGTTCACGGTCGTTTAATCCTGAAGTGGAATCCGGTTTTTTTTTTTATTTCTTCCTGACTCTCTGCATTGCATGGGTTCTACAGTTTGAGTCTCACCCATTTTGCTGACGTGGTATTTTCAATAGTTATTTTGTTTCTTGTTCAAACTGGGAATGATAACAATATTCATTCATTCATGGAACCTGCTTTAGTACAGTTTATTTAAGGCCTCAATGGCAACACATTTGAGAGATTTGAACTACACAGTACGCCCTTTAGCTCACAAATAACCTCGCCTTTAATATCCAGTAAGACAAAATAAAAAGAGAATTTCTGAACAGCTAGTTTGCAAAGGCACCATTTTCTTTTATCTATTTGGAGCATGGTCGCCTTGACTGTGACAAAACGAGTGTCTATACTTCGAGGCAAACTTAACGACTAAAGGTCGGCACACACGAGGGGACTGGTCACTGCGACTAGTCCGTGCTACTAGTCCCGGCGATAAGTCTTTGAAGGGTTTACACGAGGGGACCGGTA